CCTTTTGGGCTATAGAGACTAGATATTTAAACCTTTGGAATTAATCCCTTTATACATCCTCTCAGTCAAAAGCACCAGCTTTTTTCTCTGCTTGTACAGAATATTATTTTACAGTGCTGACTGCAGCTATTTGAGAGCAGTCTGCAGAGTTATGAACACTAGTACACTATCTTGTCGACTTTCACATTTTTCAAGATAATGCAGGGTTCCAACCACACATTCTCTGTGAACCACTACAGAGTGATAAAAAATTACTTGTGTTTCCCATGACCTCAGTTGGCAAGAGGCATTCCAACAAGGGCCCAAAAGATGACTGAACCCCTTTAAAAGACCCTTGTAATGAAGCCTCCAGGGAGTCCCTGTGTGGAGTGAAATTTAAAGTTGCCTCTATAGATGCACAGTGTAGCATGAACCAGCTTAAGACTGCTGTCTATTTAAATGCCCTCCTGTTTTGCATTTATTTAATATCGCCCTATTTTGAGCCCCAGTGAGAAAGTTATTTTTAATAATATCTTCTTTTTCTAGAAATGCATTAAGTCTGGCAGATGTCATGAAAAGGAGAAAAATAGAGCATTTCATCCTCTTTAAAGCTTAGAGAGCTTATTTAGTTATTCTCCTTTGGTCATGAAAATAACCCTGGTCCACATCGAATTCTAGAGCTTAAAGAGACTTCAGAGAGCATATAATCAAGCCCTTAATTTTACAAGGGAGGCAACTGAGGCCCTCCAAAAAAAGGGAAAAAAAGCTTCCTTTTCTTTAAAAAAAAAGTTTTAATTATTAAGCACTTATTTTTTTTTCTCCCATTCATTCCCCCCCAGTGGAAAAAAAAAAGTATAAAACCATAGTAACAAATAAGCAGAGTTGAGCAAAATAAATTCACACGTTGACAAGGTCCAAAAATGTATGTCTTATTGCGCATATTAATCTATCACGTTTGTGTTGTAATGTAGGCAGCATTTTTCATTATTAGTCTGGACTCCTAATGGACCATTACATTGATCAGAATTTTTAAATCTTAGAATTTTCATTTTTACAATATTTTATAATAATTATAGTATAATTATTCTCCTGGTTCTACTCAATTCCAAATGAGTTCACCCAAGTCTTCCCAGGTGAAGCAACTTTCCCAAGATCACAAGTTAATAATGGCAGAGGCAGATGGAAAGCCAGGTGTCCTAAGTCCTGGTTTGGGACTCTCTACTTTATTACACTGCTTTCTTATATTCAAGGGACAAAATTAATAATAACAATCAACAACTATTAAGCACTTACTATGTATGAGACATTCAGCTAGGCACTGGGAATACAAATACAAAGAATATAACAATCCCTATCCAAAAAGACTACATTTTAATGGGGAAGACAAGTACATATAAATATATATAGCACAAATGCATATAAATAAGTACAAATCTGTACAAAGTAGTTAAATGAAAGGTGGTATGTAAAGGACACTAGCAGGTAGGGAGATCGGGAAAGACTTGAAACAAAAGATAGTGGTCAAGCCATGTCTTAAAGGAGAGAGGGACTCTAGAAGGCAGAAGTGAGAAGGAAGTGAAGTCCAGGAATGAAGAGACGGTCATTGCATAAACAAAGATATGGAAGATGAAGTGTTGCATGTGAGGGTCAGGGAGGAAGCCCATTTTTCTGAATTACAGAGTACAGGGGGGACAGTAATGTACAATGTGGCTGGAAAGATGGAGATTAGGGACATATCAGTTGAGAAGGACTTTAAAAGCTAAGCAGAGGTGGAGCCTAGGTGGTAGAATGGTAGGAATCAGTACAGTGAACTCTCCTCCAAACAGATCCAGAAAATGCACCAGACTAAGTCCTGATGGAGAAAGGCAAAAAAAGTCACAGCCCCGCTCAGTGTAGGGACAGAGAGGTCTGCCGGTACTGGGGATAGGATTGGGCCAAGAGCATACTGCACTCCTTGGAGCACTCCAGCACCCAGGGAGAGGCTGAGCACCAGGGCTCCCCCTGTGAATGGGGAGTGGTGCAGTTCACAGGTAGGTAGGCACTAGGAGGCATACCTAGAAAAAAGAAAGTTCAAAAGCAAGTGGCAGTAGTGGTGTGGCTCAGAATCCTGGAGCAGAATGGGATCTTAGTTTCAGCATCTAGCACAAGTTTCAGAGAAATAATGAGAACAGGAGTCCCAAACCAAAGAGGAGGTTGAAGTTCTGCCACTGAACCAACCGAACTTTCTAGCTGGATCCTAGGGGTAGAGTCCAGCAGCAGACCCAAACCCGTGTCAGGAATTTGCAGAATTCAAATCAGACTTTGCCCTAGGTCAGACCATTTAGGAAGCACTGAAAACGTACAAGTCCCTAGGCTGTCCCTCAGATCTGGAATAACACAACATTCAATAATAGCCCAAGAAAGCAGCAACAGACCTTCCTTCCAGAGATGTGGCAGAGGCCAGCCCTAACTGCAAGTCTGAAATCAAGAAGTTGGCCAGAAGAATGGGCAAACAAAGGAAGAACTCCAACATAATAAGCTATTATAGTGGCAGTGATGCTGAAGACACAGGTGCAAAAGAAGAGAATGACTCTAAAACATCTACCAACAACACCTTAGTGAAAAACACAGCTTGCGCACAAACTCAAATAGAATTCCTGGGAGAGATGAAGCAAAGTTTTGAAAAAAGAGTTTTAAATGTTTGTATAACTTCAGTGAGGAAAAAAAACTTAGAAAAGTAATGAGAGCTATAGAAAAAAGAATTGAAAAGGTAAATTAACATCTCCCAAGAGATATAAAATTTTGTCCAAGCAACAAACTCTCTTAAAATTAGAATAGATCAAATAGAAGCCAATGATTCCATGAGACATCAAGAAATATTAAAAAAAAACGAAGTCAAAAGACTTAAAAAAAAAAGAAAAGAAAAAATTAAGACTCATTGAACTATCTGAATGCCATGACCAAAACAAAAAATCTAAACATGCTATTTCAACATTTCTTAAATGGAAATAGTTTAACTGTTATCTTCATTCTCTGTTCTCTGTTTATTTAGTTCTTACTCCATTTACATATGGTGTGTTTTTAGAATGTAGAAAATAAATCATTCTTCTTGGTAAAGCAATTGGGGTTAAATGACTTGCCCAGGGTCACATAGCTAGTAAGTGTCAAGTGTCTGGTCTGAGGCCAGATTTGAACTCAGGTCCTCCTAACTCCAGGCCCAGTGCTCTATCCACTACACCACCTCACTGCCCCTAAATCATTCTTTAAAGTAGAAAAAAAAAGTGAGTTTCTAACCACAAGTGTATTTGGAGGCATGTGAGTTCTATCTAAAAAAAAACCATGCAAAAATCAACTAAACTATATCCTCTCCCACTTGCCCAGCAAAAAAGGGAAAAGAAGTTACCTCTTTAATAAGAATATATGTTAGAAGGTAGGGTAATTTCTGTCAGAGTTCTCTTCTTATACCTCATCATGGTATAGGAGAAACTCTGGGTTCTTAAAGGTAATGCCAGTGGAATATCAAGTCTTCTCAAGATGGAAAATATATAGAAGGACTGTCATGTGAGGACTGGTCCTTGCTAAGTTCAGAGAAAACCATCACCAGATTGGCCAGGAGGTGGTGAATTTTTCAGTCACAGGAACTCTCAAAATCTGTAGTAGTAGAGGGAGTACCCACACTGACAAGAATAGAAGACCCTTAAAATGTCCAAGTTAATTTAATAGAAGAAATTATGTCCCTTTTCAGGGTTACCTGTCTTCATCTGAATCAGTATTCCAGTTTAATTTCTGCCATCAGTTGTAAAAACTTGCTAGGAAAACAATTTTCATATCAGATATTCCATGTTCAAATGAGTAGATAACAACCGGTGCCAGTTTTTTACACTCCTAAAATCTTGAGAAACATTTAGATTAATTATATTCTTTCCTTCATACTTTTCCCTAAGTTGTGATAAAATTAGCAATTTATGTTTCAAAATTTACTAATGTTTTTCACTGTTTTCTTAGCAAAAACTGCAAATTGTTTTTGGGATCTGTGGTTTTATGACTCATGAAACTTTTTAATAGCCCCATGGGGTACATGTCTATACAGAATCAAAATCTTAATCATAGTGAGAAGAGTAAAGAATCTCTTCCAGGTGAAATTCAGCCAACAATATGCATGGTTAAAGTCAGTTCACATTAAGATGCTGATGATAACCAGTATTGTCCTTGCCCTGCCCAAGTGTTTATTCTCATTCTCTGCTGTTAGAATTCTTGAAAGGTAACTGTGAATTGATGGACATTAGTTATCCTTAGGTGTTTTTGTAGTGGTATTTCATGGAGCAAAGTATTAGCAATTTTGGAGAGAATGGGCAGAGGAGAGAGCTGAGAATGTATCTTAGAATGCTAATGCTTGAGGTTTGCAAATAACTTATGGATGACTCAGCCAAAACACTTCAGACTTCATAGTTGAACTCCAGAAACACTCAAGTATCAGCTAGGTGTGTCTATTCATATTCTTAGGACAAAAGAGAAGGGTGGCAGAATGGGTGATGCTCTTGGTCGCCAGGTGCTCAGTGCCTGCAGCATTAATGACTTAGCAGAAGACGGAGCAAAACCTCAGTCTGTACCATGTGAAAATCCATTCCAAAACATGCCTTTGAAGCTTGAGTTGTAAACAAGTTGTTCTGGGCTGAATTACAGGTGCCAAATGGATATAACTACTGTCTTTAATAAACACAGAAATGGATACTTCAGTTTTTCTATGAGGCTTTTGATGTGTATTATATGCTAGAAAATGCTGAAGTTACCTAACTGTGCCTATTGCCTCCTGTGGTGATCCTCTAGCCTAATGCTCTGAAGTTCATAGACCCAGAAACACTTAACCCAGATACTGTGTTTGGTTCTAAATCCTAAAGAAAATAATTAGATTCACAGAATAATCCATTTTAACATCTTTTAAGCAAGTGGTTGAGCTTCTTTTCTTTGGGAAGCAAAGCATACTTCATAGTTTTTGATGATCTGTTATTCAGAATTTTAATTTGTTTTTTTTTTCATTTAAGGCTCATGAAAAAGGAAGCTTAAACTATTCAAAGGTAGGTGAATTTTATGTTTAGATATTTGTCTATGTATGTATTTGTCTACATGTATATGTAAACATATAATCTATATATAGAGAGAGATTTAACTATTGATCATATATAACTTTGAAATGTAGAAAGAGAATCATGATCAAAGATTTTCTTTTTAGGGCTTGGTACATAGTAAGCATTTTAAAAGTGCTTTACATAAGACCACTAAACATTATCAGAGACATTAATATTGCCTACAACTTAAGATGTCTTTTAATAATAATAATAATGGTAATAATAATACTTTACATTTATATAGGAACAACTCAGTGAAATGGGCAGGGCAGTTGGTATAACCACATTTTGAGGAAGCTGAGATTCAGAGGTTAAAATGACTTATCTGAGGTTACCCATCTGTAGCTTGTCAAGCTGGAGGATTGTCACAGTAGTCTCCAGACCCCTCCAATCCAGAGTTTTCTGTCTGTACAATGTTTCCCTTTTTGTCATCACCATCAGAGAGTGTCCATAGGTGACACTATAAAGGATAGTTTAAATGCAGAAGCTCTATCTTCAGGATATTTACAGGTGAAAACAGACTGCAACTTATGAGGAATCATGTTTCCTACCTCCTGACAGAGAGATGATAGACAAGAAATACAGAATCAGACATATATTTTTAAGCACAGCCAACGTGTGGATTTGTTTTGCTTGACTATTCTTATTTATTACAAGAGAGGGCTTTTTTTTTCCCATTGGGGAAAAGTTGTAAAGGGTGAAGAAGTATAGGGATAGTAATGCCAAAAAAAAATAGGGAAAAAAGAGTATCAATAAAATATTATAAAAATACAGGCAAGAGGGTAGAAGGAAGTTCAGAGGGAACACAGATAAACAGAACAGTGTTGGCACTGCCATGTCAAATTTAATATAACGTAAAAATCAAATTGTACATAGTAGAGATTCATGGTTTCCAATAGATTCCTTTTTTCTGTTCTTCATACAAGAAAATGTTTATGTTTGTTAAATTCATAACGATAATAAAAGTTTTTAAAGAAAAGATATTTTGCTGGCATAAGAACATGAACATAAATATGGTGTTCTAGTTGTGGAACACTGACATTTACCATAGGCTATGTCGTATTTGTACGAGATGGTAAGTTTCATGAAGACAGGGACCATATTATTTTTCTTTGTATTTCCCCAAGCACAGTGCTTCACATAGAGCAAGTACTTAAAATGCTTATTTAGTGAATGCCTCAAGGAATGAGTGAAGGAACTGGGTAATCCCTTTCCCAGAGAGAAGTCATAGGAACGTGGTTTATACGTCAATTTGGAGGGCTTTTGCTCTGTGTCATTAGAGACTAAGGAGAAGTAAAATTCCCAAGTGTTTCACCCAGGGGCACACAGAAAGCAAATAGCAAATTATTTACCAACAAGAATAAAGTCATACATGATGACATAAATTGTATTTGGAATTTCAGGTTATTTCTTTTGTGCTGATGCAACAAAATCAAGAAAAAATTATTCCCACTCTTTAATTAAGAAAGACTTCGTGGTAGTATGACTCCAAAAGCCATCAAGAGAGATGGGAACATAATTGACATCATTTTTTAAGGGGTGTGTGATCATATATGCAAGGATGTAAGAATCTGTAAGTACAAGGAAACAGAAAACTAGAAACAGGAAAACTAGATGAGAGGAAAGGTGACAAGATAAAGAAAAGTGACATGATATGAGAGATGCAAAGAGCAGCCTTGTAGTGTATTCTCAGAATTTTTTGTTCATTCAGAAAGCAATGGGGAACCATTGTTGAATATTCAAGCAGTGATGTATACTGGGGTGGAAGAAAGAATAATTTGACAGGAATAAGATTGATTTAAGAACTAGAATATAGTAGAGTGGTAAAAGGAATGTTGTAATGATCGGGTCTAGAGATGATCAGGTAGAAATGGAGAAAAGATGACAGCCATCAGTGATATTATAAAGGAAGAAATGTAATTTGGTATTAGATTATTAATGAATGAAGGACATTAGGATGCAAGCGTTTCTCTGAACCGTTTCAGGGAGCATGTTGCACATGTGAGAGTATTGGAAAGAAGACTGATGATGAACCATTGATTCTGAGATGTCCTATATTGAATGAGATTCAGGTCTGTTTTATAAAAGTTCTAGAGCCATTAGAAGGCATGTGCTATTTGGATAGTCTGTTTGACCTTGGACAAGTCAATTCATTTCTCTGAGACAGTTCCTTCTCCAGTTAAATAAGAGGAATGGACTAGGTGATTTCTAAGGTCTTCTTCAGCTGTAACATTCTGTCATTCTATGGTATTCAGTCATTCTTTGAGAAATAAAAGTGTTGATGTACAAGACACTGGCAATGCAAAGCTCCAACTGAATAATCTCTGTACTAGAAGATAATTTACTTTCTCCTAGAGTAGTTAGAAAAAAGCTTCATAAAGGGCCATCAGTATCAGAGCTGGGTCTTAAAGGAAGGAGCATATTTTGAAAGACAGGGCTGGTCCAAAATAATCACCAAACTGCGCATACCTTTTGAGTCAGCAGTACCACCAGAAGTCCTATAAAGAAATTAAATGAGGAGGAAAAGATACTATATATACAAAAATATCATAATAGCTCTTTTTGTGGTAGTAAAGAACTGAAAACTAACAGGGTGCCCATCAGTAGGGTAATGGCCAAACAAATTATGCTATATGATTATAATGGAATACTATTCCCCTATAAGAAATAACAAAAGGGACAGTTTCAAAGAAACCCGTAAGGACTTGTATGAAATTATACAGAGTACAGTCAACAGAGTCAGGAGAATAATTTATACTATAATAGCAACAACATTGTAAAAATGAACATTTTAGAAGACTTAAGGACTCTAAGCCATCTAGTCACCAACCATGATTCCAGATGATTCACGATTTAGAATGCCACCCACCTCCTGACAGAGTGCACTAAATATACAATAAGGCATTTTTGGATATGACCAATATAAAAGTTTGTTTTATTTAATTATGAATGTTTTGATAAAGGTTTTGTTTTTTTCTTTTTCAGGGGAGGGGGGATGAAAATGAGATAAAATGAATGCTTGTTAACTGAAAAAAAAAATTTTTTTAATTTGAAAAAAGCAGGGCTGAGAAGAGTGCATTTCCAGGTGTTGGGGATGGCTTGTGCAATTGAATGGATACAAGGGGTGGTTTGTTGAGTTTAAGGAATAGCTAGCACACCAGTTTGTCTGGAATGTAGGTTGATATGGTATAATGAGTGGTATCACGGAAAGGTAGCTTAGAGCCTACCTTTCTAAAAGCACTTTAAACATTGGATGATTGAATGTGTATGTTAACGTAGAGGTAGTAGGGAACCATTTAAGCCAAGGAATGACTTCAGACCTGTACCTCAAAAAGATTATTTTGTATCCTCTGTAAAGGATGGATTGGAGAAGAGAGAGATGAGAAGCTGGGAGACCAGTCCAGGAGTATTACAGTACTCTAGGCAAGAGAAGATGAGGGCATCAAGTAGAATGTTGGCCATGGAATGGTGAGAAGGGGTTCCATGAGTATGGAAGAGGAGATATGAAGGTACAATTGACAAGATTTGTCAGCCAATTTGGATAGTTAAGATTGAGAAAAAAAGGATCCGTATGTGATGACTCCAAAACTTTCAGCTCTTGTGAGTGGGAAGAATGATAGTACCCTCAACAGGAATAGGGAGCTTTAGAATAGACCAGGTTAGAGGCAAAGATGGTCAGTTCTTTTTTTAGCGATCACATAATTTTTCTGCTTTCTTTAAAGTAAAGAAAAGCTTTCTATTGTCTATTAAACCAATTCCAGGCTCTTTAGTGCTCTTTATCTACTTTTCTAGCTTCATATCCCACTAATCCTAATAAGTGCTTGTTGATTTTTTAAATTTTCTTTTTATGTATGGCATATTTCCCTAACTAATAATAATACCTAATATTTATATAGTACTTTAAAGTTTGTAAAGTGCCTCATTATATGTTAGCTCATTTGATCCTCACAACAACCCTGTGAGGTAGGTACTACTCTTATCAACATTGTGCATATGGAGAAAACAAGGCCCAGAATGGTGAAATGGTTTGCCCAGGGTCACACAGATAGTAAGTGTCTGAGGCAGTGTTCAAATTCAGGTTTTCCTGACTCCAAGTCCTACACTCTCTTCCACTAAAGCCACATAGATCCCTAGATTCTAAGTCCCTTGTTTTCAGAGGCTCCTGTCTCTTTGCATTCCCAGCAACTGTCACAAAATTCTATATGCTGTATGTGCTAAATAAATGTTTATGATAATAAGAAGAGAAATTATAGATAAAATTGGATTTGATCATTTCTACAGCGTTGGCTGTCTGTTCAATGGAATAAATATTAACTTACTGCTTTGTGGAAGGCATTATATTAAATGCTAGGAGAATACAGTCCAATTAGAAAGCTGTTGCAACACCCCAGGTGAGAGGTAACACAGGCAAAAATTAGGATAGTGATGTGAGTAGAGAGAAATAGATGGATGTGAAAGGTATTGTGGAAGTCAAATCAAGGCTTGGCAACTGCCAAGGAGATGAGGGAGATGAGTCAGAGATGACCTCCTGAGAGAGGCAATGGACCCTAGACGCTGAAGAATGGGGAGATTTGTTTTGCTAGACCCTGCATGTTGGTTACAAGGATTTTCTTTTTCTTTCTTTTTTCCTTGGGGGGAAGGGTGGAAAGGAGAGGAATAATAGGGATGGGGAGCCAAAATAAAAGAAATTTAAAGAAAGGAGGCTCATTGAAGCATTTTTTTAAATGCACAGAAGAGAACAGAGGAAAGGCCAAAATAATCATAGACTAGCAGGACAGCCTTGAAAAGTTACATGTTAAGTTGATTATACATTTTAAAAGAAAAATAAGTTATTCATAATAGAGATTGGCAGTTTTAAGTATTAATCTTTTTTCTGTTCTACTATGAATAGGGAAATACCTATGTTATCTGGTGTTTGCTAAGGTCAGAATTTTAAAAGAATAAACTTT